ATACATACATGCATACACATACATATATATTTTTTTGAATAAAAAATTTCAAGAGGATAGAATCCAGGTAGAACTCAATGTCCAGGACAGAGTAAGGATATAATAAAAAGGCTTAAACACTAATATGGAATATTAGTTGTTGAAGCCTTCTTATATATATATATATATATATATATATATATATATATATATATATATATATAGGTTAGTTAAATGAAATAACTAGATATTAGCGACCGTATACACACGTGCTGGCGTACCTACATTGATAAGCAAATAAATAATTACCAAATTTAGCTAAGAGGTATAGACATAATAATGCTCAATTGTCTTTGACAGAGCAAAGGCATATAATTAATATTAATAATTAGACATATATCTACGTTTTGTGTGCGACTTACGTTTCGTTTGTTACTCAACTCGTCGGGCGTATAGTTTTTCGCTTATTTAACAATATATTGTTTTTTGATTTAAATAAACAATAAGCTATATCTTGTGCCCAACGAGTTTGGTAACCAACGAAACTTTAGTCGCACACCAAACGTAGGTATATGTGTATTTATTTGCGCCATGAAGATGACAATTTGAAATTGTCGAAAGTACTTAGCATCTGACAACAACTCAAGTATAAGGATCTTATTATTCAAGGAAGTTATAGTAAGTTACTGTCTCATTAAGCTTTGGTAACGATTTGGTAGTGATTTCGCCATTAATCACATTAACATTGCTATTTCCTGAACTCCTCAGCTGATAAGCCTGAATGCTTTGCTCGTAAATTCGCATCCAATTCAACGTTAGACTCATGTGCAGCGAATTCTTTGTGAACTTGCTGTGTAAACCAATATAACTTATTGCGTATGAAAAACGGTGCAGTTAGAGAATAAATTAAAAACAATATGCCATGATTAAAAGAAGTTCCTGACGCTTTAAAAATCGCTTAGTTGAAACCTCTAACGATGGGGAAGGCCGCAAAAATATATCAAAACCATTTGAGGCGCAAATTATTTATAAATAGAAGGTCTTTGGTATGATGGCATCGCAATCAAATACCGCGAAAATAACTTCAAGTGACATCGAGTTCGCCAAGTTCAGGCCAATCCTGTTGTGACCTCTGCAATTCCCCAAGGCTCCCTGGCCAATGTCGGAATCAGTCTGCATACGTCTACAGTGTGATGAAATCTGAACGATGCCAGTCTTCATGACGAGAAAAACGAAAAAGCATAGACAAGGACGGCTCAACTCTGCCAAAGCTCATAATAATAGGTTAAAATCGTTCTGGCAAAAGGTTTTATGGTCGGATGAGACCAAACTAGTTTTTTTTTTGATGTTATGTTTGGCGAGCTTCTAATACGACTTTCGATGAGAAGAATTTGGTGCCCATATTTAAACCAGGCGTCGGTAGAAATTTTGATTTGTTTGGGAGACTTTGCTACAGGAGGACAGGAAAATTAGTACGAATTGACGGCAAAATAGACACAATCTTGAACGAAAGTGTTTTGATTCGGTTTAAATATTGGATTTAGGTCAAGACTAGATCTTCCAACACGACAATGATCCAAAGCATCAAAGCAAATCCATAAAAAGAATGACTTCGAAAAAAGAATTTTCAAGTCTTCAAATGGCTTAGTCAAAATCTTGATCTAAATCTAATTGAAAATCTATGGTTGATGTTAAAGAAGGCACTACTGGCAAGAAACCCAAGTAATATTGAGCAATTGTGGGAGTTTTGCCAAGAAGAATGGTTAAAAACTGATGCTCACAACTGCCAGAAATTACTTAAAATTATAGACTGGTCGACGTCGTGATCTCAAAAGAAGGGGTAACCAAATATTAGATTTAAGGGTTCACTTACTTTAACTCGTCTTAATTTTTAATTAATATGTTTATTCCAGCTTGATAACATTTTTAAAAAGTATTTGTAATTCATTTAATGAAGTTGTTTTGATTTGTTTATTATCAGAGAGACAAATTTTTAATATAATCTTAGAGTTAACTTTTTGTGAAGCATTGCATATACAAGTTGTATTAAAGACGACTGAAAAGGTACTTTATATATATATATATATATATATATATATATATATATATATATATATATATATGAAGAAATATAGTCTTAAGATGTGCTATATTTATGGGATAAATTGCTCAATATCAGAGATAGAGCGTGTAAAAATATAAAAGTGAACATAGAACTCAACACTTAGAGGCGAAAGTCTGTTTCATGCTAGATGCAATCGTCAGATAATACGAGTGATATATATATATATATATATATATATATATATATATATATATATATATATATATATATATAAAGGGAAGAGGTTATAGTAGTTCCAACGAGAGAAAATGTGTATATTAAAAAAGAAGAGAAAAACCGCAAATGTTTTTGGTTGTAATGTGTACCTTTTTATAAATGTTATGCTTTATTTTCCATAATTTTGCTACACGGGTTTTCGGTCTCGTGACCTTCATCAGGCAAAGCGTGGATATTTCCACATATTATTAAAATAATTAATTTTTTCTTACGTTTTCCGATGTTAAATATTCTCGATATGAAACATTCTATTTTTTGTGTGTTAGTGACCCAAATGTCTTCCTGAATTTCACACACACACACACACACACATACACACACACACACACACACATATATATATATGGCCTGCTCGTACTACCTCCGAACTCCTTGAAGCAGATGGGACAAGCCTGATTGGGGGGACCCGGGCAGTGTTTTGTGACTCTCGCTATATTAACAACATTGGCGGCTTTTCTCTAGCTACATTGATATACGTTGCAAATAATACTATGCATAACTGATTATAAAAGAACCAATCATTTTTTAGTGGATTTTGACGTCATTCTGTTTTTTTCGTCCAATTCCATGAATTTGTTTTCCTCGTGTTAAGTCTTGAAAAAAACAAAAAATCAAAAAAAAACACAAAAAAAAACCACACACTATTAACTGGAATGACCTATTATGACATGTCTCTAATTTGTATTTATTTTCATTTTTTCTATTTGAATTGTTCCCCTGTGTTGCATACGATCCATTATTGTACGTAATTAGGTTCCAATAAAATTCGTATTTTATATGAATTCTACCTGATGACAATTGAGATGTAGTAGAGTTGTGGGGGTGTGCTCATCAAAAATTCGAGGAGGCACGAGTCCCTCCCACCAGCCATATGTATGTAGATGCTGCTGAAAAATTCACGGACCGACCAAGAAGCATTTCCTCCAAAAATTTTAAAATTAATATCTAATAGCCGTACCTTAGCAGAGTGGGTAGGGCTGATAACTTTTCAGCGTCCCTTATATATCAAATCAAACTTACGAAATTATAGTAATTTACTCAAATACTTGCTTCTTCACTTTTCGGGCGTTGTTATATACAAAGTTTTATTATAATGAGTAAGTACCTACAGTAACACGATAGGTAGCAAGCTCGTTGAGTAGGCCAATTAGTGCAGTGACTTCGTTCTATTACAGAGCAAAAATTATAAAACAAAACAGATTTTATTTAAAAATTTTCCTTTTTTTAAACATTTATCGCTGTATGTGTCTTTGTTTGCTGTTATTTATTATATTATCCTGCCACTGAAGTTGACTCTGATTCTTGAAAAATAGTGTGTTTGAATTTAATAGTTGTGTTGTCATATCCTGCTGTAACAACAGAAAACAACTTTGAGGGAAATTAATAATAAGTATATTGCAATTGAGAGGCCTTAGAAAAGAATGCAATGGAAAAGGAAGTAATATTAGTAATGCAGAGGCTTATTAATCTTTGCACACTTTTTTTAAATTCAATGTTACCCCCGAATAGGAAAAAAAATTAAGAATATTTCCTGGAGTTTCTATCACGATTAAATTTGTGGAACTGGCTAGCTTTTATACTAAAATTCTTGTTCTATAAAATTGAACAACTTGAATATTGAACGAGAATTTTAGTATAATATATTATATTATATTATATTATATAATAAACATTTGTATAATATATTATAATATAATATATTATACTAAATATATAATATTATATAATATATATCTAATAATTATATATATTATATTATATAATATTATACATTTAGTATAATATATTATATAATATATTATTATGTATATATCGAACGAGAATATTGAACTTTTAAAGACATTGGCCTGGGTGGAGAGTATTCAGATGGAATCAACAACCATCTGACGAAGGCGAGCCTTCAAGCTTCAGGATATGGTCTGACCTGGAAACGGGGTGGGGGTTACGACGTGTCTACTTACCCAAGACCCGGTATGCATCAATGAATACTTCTCCGGATTACAACCTCAATATGCAGAGGGAAAAGGCCAGCTGCCCAGCTTGCACAGTGACCCTACGATCACACCCGGCCATTCGTTTAATGTAGTCTTGTATCTGACAAGTTAATCTTAGTAAATATCTGTACGACGCTTCGTGTAGAAACGATACTAGAAAAACTCTAAATTCATCGATAATGATTTATAACTTCACTAAAAATTTTAATTTTATAGCTTTTATCATCCCGATTACGTTAAGATGTCTGCTATAGAGTGTTGCGATGCGGAGTCTCATTGAGAGTTCTGTTTCTTTGGCCTTGTGCCAGATTACACTACAATTAGTAAATATCCAGATGATGATAAGGCGAAAAGAAGGCTAAGATGTAAGATCGAAAAGAAAAAAAATAAAGACAAATGAAGGCGAAGAAGAAGAGAGAGAAAGAAAAGCATAACGACAAAGAGAGAAAAGTAGAGCAAAGAAAAAAGAAAAGAAAAAGAAGGAAGCAAATAAAGAAAAAAAGAAGCAAAAAAGGGAAAGAAAGAAAAAGAAGAAAAAAGAAAGAAAAAAGAAAGAAAAAGAAAGAAAGAAAGAAGGAAAGAAAGGAAGAAGGAAAGAAGGAAGAAAGAAAAAAGGAAGAAAGAAAGAACGAAAGAAAAAGAAAGAAGGGGAGAAAGAAAAAGACGAAAGAAATTTAAGGAATTAATTATTGGTAGGAAATTAACGGCGATGAAGAGTAGAGAGGGTAGATAGAGAACAAAAGATAGGGAGGGAGAAAGAGAGAGAATTGAACGGGGAGAGAAAGACAGGTAAGAAGAGATTTAGGGAAAATAGAAAAGGTGAGAATCAGGAAATCGAGGGAGAAATACACACACACACACACAGTGGCAGAGAGAAAGAAAAGAGAAGAGAGTTTGGAAAATAGAGACAAGAGAGATGAGGGAGAAAGAGAAACAGAAGAAGAGGATGCGGCAAAGAAGCAGAAAAAAGAAGAAGATGACAGGATATAAATGGGAGAGGAAGAAGGAAAAAACAAGTGTAGATAGAAGGAAAGAGATGGAGTGAAGCAAAGAGAGATATGTGGGGGCGGGGAGAGAATGAAAGACGCTAGGAGAGAAGAGTGGAAGGAAGAGGGCGTAGTAAGCAAAGGCGGACGCTTTGTGGAATGAAGACAGCACGGAAGACTAAATGAAATGAAAATATCGATGAATAGATTTGGACAGCAGGAATGGGTAAGGATGTTGGGTGAGTTGAGAAATTGGGCAAAGGAGGAGTGAGAGAGGGGCGAAGGTTTGATTAGGATGAAAAGATAGTGTTACAATAATAGAACACACGATAAAAGCGTGCGATTAGCCGAAATGAAACCGGGTTTTAAATAGGGAGGAGAAAAACAAAGGTCGTAGGCGACGGAAGAGAATAATAATCGTAAATAATGGCAAAAATACCAAACAGACATTGAAGGAAAGCGAGAGAATGGTGGTAGACAATATTTAGTCGTTGTTGGATTTTACGACATATCAAATCTTGTTTGGTTTATTTAATGTCGTAATCTTTTTTTATTAGACTTGCATCTATCGACAAACATTGGTCCGGTCTGAACTTGAGTTTATAGGTAGACATACCTAATTTTTTGCCTTGATTCGATTGTGTTTATATTTGAGACTCTTGGCAAACATTGGTCGGGTTTATACTTGAGTTTATAGGTAGACATACCTAAAGCATTTCTTTGATTCGATTGTGTTTAAACTTTAATCTCTAGCCAAATATTGGTCGGGTTTATAGTTGAGTCTCTAGGCAAACATTGGTCGGATTTATACTTGAGTTTATAGGTAGTCATACCTAAAGCATTTCTTTGATTCGATTGTGTTTATACGTTAATCTCTAGGCAAACATTGGTCGGGTTTATACATGAGTCTCTAGGGAAACGTTGGCCCGGTTTATACTTGAGTCTCTAGGCAAATATTGGCCGAGTTTATACTTGAGTTTATAGGTAGACATACCTAATAATTTTATTTGATTCGATTGTATTTATACAAATATTGGTCGGGTTTATACATGAGTCTCTAGGCAAATATGGGTTGAGTTTATACTTGAGTTTATAGGTAGACATACATAATGCTTTTCTTTGATTCGAGTGTGTTTATACTTTAATCTCTAGGCAAAAATTGGTCGGGTTTAAACTTGAGTGTCTAGGCAAATATTGGTTTGGTTTATACACGAGTCTCTACGCAAATATGGGTTGAGTTTATACTTGAGTTTATAGGTAGTCATACCTAATGCTTTTATTTGATTCGATTATATTTATGCTTGAATCTCTAGACAAATATTGGTTGGGTTTATACTTGAGTCTCTACGCAAATATGGGTTGAGTTTATACTTGAGTTTATAGGTAGTCATACCTAATGCTTTTTATTTGTTTCTTGATTGTATTTATGCTTGAATCTCTAGGCAAACATTGGTCGGGTTTATATATATATATATATATATATATATATATATATATATATATATACATAATTCATGAGTTATCTAGAGCCACAACTTAAGATTTGCCGTTATTATCAAGAGCTTGATATATATATATATATATATATATATATATATATATATATATATATATATATATTCAGTGATGTTCGTAAGCACGTCAGCGGTAGACCGGGCAAAACTGAATCCATCTTGTTTGTCAGAGAGTAGGTCGTGAGAATTAAAATGCTTAACCAATTCAGCATTGATTAAAGCCTCGAATAATTTGCCGAAAAGCGGTAGGAGACTGATAGGGTGGTAGTTACAGGGGTCAGAATGTACCTCAGAGTTCTTAAAAACAAGAACTTCAGAGGAGGATTCAAGCAAGCTGGAATGCAGGAAGCAGCGAGTCAATAGTTATAGAGTTTGGAGAGATCTTGAGCCAGTTCGCGAGCACACTTCTTTAGGACGACGGCTGGGATCCCGTCACCTGCACGTGCCTTATGGGTGTCTAATTTAGAAATGAGACCAGTAAAGGGAGTTATGCGCATATCATTCAGTATAGTCTCAGTTCGAGGGAGAAATCAGGTGTGGGTACTTCAGATGAGTAGATTGTTGAATTGGAAGAGAATTTCCGAGCAAAGCATTAAACATTATGTGCTATAGATGTCAGGACTCTGAATTGATTGAACTGAGGTGGGACTGTGAATTTGCTTTTCTTCAGTACACTCTTGCAGAGC